ACATGCACCTCTCTAAATATGTTGAAAAAATTCGTCGATGAGTTGTAGGACTCGGTAGCTCAATTGGTAGAGCAACAGCACAGAACGCTCACGATGCCGGTTCAAGGCCTGCCCGAGTCGAACATTTTTTCAATTTATATTCGATTTTTAATGTATAGATCAGAACTAGTAACTTTTGTATGTATCCATTATACATTTCTCCTGCACTTGTAATCCTCGTTCTCTGACGGTAATAACATTCTTTTCACGAACCTTTTTCCGAATAATAGCATTTAAAAGTTCGGACGAATTTCTTTGTGTAGATTGGCGCAGTTAATTGTTTTTACGAGTTTCCAAAGAACTCAAATCGATTTTTCTCGTCTAACAAAAGCGATCTCTGCCTTTCTCCAGAATAATTTAAAATATAGGTAAATAGATTGTAAAGTCAGATGAATATTTCCTATACACTTTTGACGCTCATTGGTGTAACAGTAGCAATGTTGTAAACATAACACGGTAAACATGTAATGAACTTCGTCTGGAAATCTAGATATTTAATGGGTCCGTGGATTTCTGAATATTCAAAAGGCTCAAATCACTTATCATCAAGGCAAGCCCATGTCTTACTCTTCTTCTTCTTGTCTTATTGTTTACTTAAGTGGTTTAAAGCACCCAATTACGTGGTTTTTAATCTATGAAACTCTAGCAATTGCTTTGTTTTTCTCTTGTGATCGGACATTACGCGCATAGAAATTGCGCGGTAATTACGTAAATGAACTTATCGTACGTAATTTGAGGTGCACTGAACGTACGGACTTACGTAAACGTACAATGTAGACCGAGTCTTAACATCGAAAAATATTCTATTACCGCAAAATACTAGAACACCATTTTAGAAGATTTTAAATGTAGATTGAAATAAGTAATCTGTTTGACAACTTTGTTTAATATTTTTTACATGCCATTGCGCTTGATAGCATTAAATAAATAAACTGTGTAGGACTCGGTAGCTCAATTGGCTAGAGCGACATTGGGGAAAGCTGTGAATGTCGGTTCAAGTCCTGCCCGTGTCGAAATTTTTTCTTTCGATCTAAAATCAATTAACAACCAGATATCATATTACATTGACTACTTTTTGTAATATTGACTAATACATTTATTCAAATGCTCTCCTATCGATCTATCAAAGCCTTAATTTACATGTGACGACGCTGTCTTTGATGGGATTACTAAATACTTCATTACGATTTTTTTATATTTGAAATCGAATAGATCGAGACTGGAGTTTATTATTATTTGGTTTAATATATTGTATATTGTTAGCCGTGTCGCTTCGAGGGTTTTGAATCCGAGGGTGAAGTAACCTTTACATTGTTTTATTATAATAATATTAAATAGGTCAGTTATAGTAAGCGACAGAGCGTGACCATAAATAATCGAAATTAACCCAATTAGCCACTAGAGTTCCCAGTTAACAGTTTATTTTAAAATAAGTGGGTGGTTTTATTAATCGCCAAGGGTGTTACTTCAGAACAGCCAAACATGATGTCTTGTATTGAGGTAAAGCCTTTCCATACTAATATTATAAAGAGGAAAGATTTGTATGTAACAGAGAAACTCAAAAAGTACTGGACCGATTTTAATCATTATTTTTTCATTAGAAAGCTACATTATCGCTGAGTAACATAGGCTATACTTAATACTTGATTACTATAGGCATCTATAGAAATTCCTACTAAAACCAATGGAAGGCGTAAAAAAAATTGCCATAAAATATCTTTCTTCGCATACGTTGCAAGAACTCTTAATGATAGGACGAAAAAATGTTCGAGAATATTATAGAATATATCAATATCTTCAAAAAACATCAGAGAAACAACGAGAGCATAATATGTCTAACTATTGTAGTTACGTCGCTATAACTACTTTTTTACATTTAACAAATTGATAGAAATGCCGATCAAAATCAAACCGTGTTATCCATACCATTTATAAATTTTTATCCAAATAAATAATTTAATATTCAAGACTGTCTCAATACCTAATGATTCCCTTTTTTATTATTGAAATCGAACATGCCATTTAAAAGATATCATAAAATTAAAATTAAAATACATTAGATTATTCTTAATTTCTCTGATTTAAAATAAATATCCTTCATAGTAATATGCCTAGAAGAAGAGGATCGCAGCTATCTGATAGTTCCCAAGCGAGATAAGCAAAAGTTCGTCGTATTGGAGAGTCTTCCTAAAATGATCATCTGGAAAGTATTAGAGTGCACGCGTCCCAATCGTGAGCCAGAGAATCTATCGTCGAATATTCAGGTTCGTCTTGCAGAACAAAATGCAAGATCGTCGCAGCGACTTCAAGGAAATAAGGAAAAGGAGCTAGGAATTCGCGAACGCGTGCATGGGTCACTAACTCTCAGCGGCTCCCTGACACAGCGAGATAGACCACGGTCGTTAACAGCGAGGACGCCAGTACAATTTCTTTCTAATTTAGTGATTCACGGTTGTTTTAATAAGTATGCTTATAATTTTAATATCTGTACTTATTTATGTCTACCCGTGCGAAGCCGAGACAGGGCCGCTAGTCTTAAATATCCCTAAATTGATTCTAATATAATACTAACAAAGTCTTGCTAATTTTGTATATATGTTAATGTTTTCAGTAGCTTACGCGAGTAGTGCACATTTTTAAAACAGAAGTATTTTTTTTTTATTAAAAAAACTTTAACGGATTTCAATCGAGTTAAACTTGACACCTCGTGATCGGTCACGGTCTTCCCGTGACCACGGCTGCTGCAAAGTATCCGAAACGTCGGGCCGTAGTGAATAAATACTTTGTAAACCAGTTTAACTAATATACTTCGCGTTTTAAACAGTTAAAGTGTTTTATTGAAATATATTAATGCTGCTAACTTAAAGCAGAAAAATATATTTTTTCAAACTACGTATTTAGAATTAATTACATAGAGTATTAATGCTCTATTAATTACTTATCCTAACGAGACTCAGTTTGGCCGCTCGTAACCTTAAAAGGTATTAAGGAGTGTTAGGAACACCCGGGTCTGTAGGGTCAATTGATCCTTTAATTGGGTTCATTGTTCAGAATGACCTGAAAACTAATTCTGTAGAAACGAGTTCGAACTTAGCCTCAAATTCAATACCTTCTTTTTTTAATAAGCTATGATACTCTTTCTGTCTGAACGTTTCATGTTGAAACCAGTCTTTGTTGATAGTAAAAAAAAAAACTAGATACTTGTATTCCTATCCTATCAGGATGATAAAATAAAACCAGATTTACTTTTTTTTTAGGTGTGACGAGACATTTTAGATGGTTTGCAGTAACCGTGGTCACGAGTGACTAAATTGTGGTGCACGTCAAATCTGCTACGCTAGCGCCATCTGTTTAGAGAAATAGAGAAACTTCGAGCAGCTGGGTCCTTACAGATATGACTCACGGTCTCCTTTTGATTTCTTTGTCGTGTTTTACACTTCTTTTTTATGACTAGAAACGAAATGTTCGATTTTTTAAGGAAATTTAGTTTTTTTTTGGCACATTATACTTATTTTATTAATTTTCTACTACTTACACTTTAACAATTGTGTTTTAAAATTCTGTCATTACCTTGCGCTTTACGCCTCTACATAGATATACGTACTCATCATACGGCGTGGCAACCCTCGTAAACCGTTTTATTGTCGTGAATCGTGATACCAGCCGAGACGTAGACAAGACACTTACGTAAAATATGTCTCTTTGTAGTAAAATGTGTTTTATTACTCAATTTGGGCGGTTTCATACCTACCTATTTAATACTAATAGAGTGCAAGCACCTGGGTATTTTACATATCTGTTACTAAGATTAAACTACTAACACTCACGAAAAATTACGTAAAACGGTGCATATATCAAAGGAGGTACACATTAAGTCCGCAATAAAATAGTATATGTGTAGCAAATAAGTTTCGACAAAATTAAATTGAACTCTTAAATAGTTGAATGATTTTCTAAGAGGCTGGGTACATCCGAACGGTATACAAAGCTCGAGTCAGAATCGAGTTTCACCATAGTTCGACGTGAATTAATTTAGACGGACTTAAGCACTTGGCCGGTTTTATTCTTTAAGTCGATCAAAACTCAAAAGTTATGTGTTCTTGTTTTTCTTACATATCTTGTATACCTATAGGTGTGCATTATTTTTCAAAATAAGTATATATTTTAAATCCATAGATTAAAAATCATGGGAGCAAAACATGTAAGTAACTCAATAAATATAAGAACTGACGATAAGATGCGACACTGATACCATACTTTACAATCACTCCCTCTATTGATCGATCGTACAAGTGATTGCCTGAGAGATTGAGATGAAAAAGGTCAATATTAAATTTCTCTCTCGCCCTAAGAATATTTAATTTATATGAAATTTTTGAGCCGATGAAGAATTGTTTTAATACAAATTGAATTTCAACAGTTTGCTTATTATTATTCAAATTTATGTTTTAGCATCGAGGGCTAAAGGATTTAACCCGACAGACTTTCAATTCGAGGGACTCACGATTTTACTTTGATTAATTTGCGTTACAGATATTTTAAGGGCTCGGTCTTTTTACGACAGAAAGGACATTCGGTCGTTCGCTACTCTAGCAATAGTAATGATCATTTTGATTTATTTTTATTACCAATTGTAAATTGTAAGAAAACGTTGGCCAGACGCTCGTTGTGTACTAACAACGCGCCTGAACAAACATACCGAAGTAGTTCATGAGAAATAATCTATGGCAAAAAGCGGCTGCGTCGTGGGCCCGTTCCAGATTTGAGGGCGATATAGGACAAGGAAGATTGTACTATTCTTTGTTTGGAACCGCGTTCTCGGCGTATCTCACGTTAATTTTAAAATCTCCAGGTTAGGTAGAGTACACGAGATGTGCGCGCGAAGAGTAAATTTTAAATATATTTAACAAAAATCGTTTTATTTCAGATTACGTGAAACATGGTTCAGTGACGTAAAAGCGATGCTGCTGCAGCAGGCGACCCCCACGCCTGGTCCCAGCGGCACGGCGAGTCCCAAACGCAACAGACCCAACGGTGGCGCAAACTTCTCGAAGTTGAACAGTCCGATATTAAACGATGGCTCGAAAGGGAATTGTAGTCCCAGGTTCGGATCTAGTAGTCCGAGTCTGGCTGCAGGTAGCCCGAAATTCAACAGTCCGAGCGCGGGAGGCAGTCCAAACTTGGGCGTCAGTCCCAAGTTTGCAAGCCCAAAACTGGGAGGAAGTCCCAAAGGTGAAAGCAAAGCTCTACAAGACGAGACGGCTTTGGAGAGACTCCAGGTGGAACTGAAAGAGGGTTGGACGGTGCACACTGGCAGAGAGGGCAGACTGTACTATTGCAAGTAAGTGCTTTATTGTGCCAAACGAACGCAGCTCTATAGAATACGACCGCCGGTCTATACATTTTACGTTGAGTTAAGAATACTTCCTCATATTGACTAGCTATCTTAATATATTATGGGATACATATATATATCCCACATACTTTTTACCTTTTCAATGTGTACACGCTATTGTACATTATTATTATTATTATCGTTTCTCAGGGAGTCCATGTTTCCTCTTGAAATTCAATCTGTCTACTTTACTTAAAAAATACGCTTCAGGACCTTTTGCGTAAGTTAGACACACATAGACAGCGCCAACGACTTTGTTTTAATACTTGATAAACGATATTTTGACGACAGCTAACAGGAAAATTAAAAAGTTGAAAGTAGGTCGCTTTAGTGGATTAAAATTTTCAATAATAGGAGCTTTATCAAAGGCTTGCGACACAATACAGACGCCTCCAGTGTGTTTCCCGCCATTGTTTAGTGCCACTGTATTATTCGGCTTAATGCGTAATAATAGAAGTGTTATTTATCACATCATTTTGACTGTACGAGCTTATTGTACGTACTTAATGTTACATTGTGTTTCGTACAGAGTTTGATCATGGAATATAAACACGACATTTCTGCTTGCTTTCAATATGAATGGGTATGTAAAAAGGTTTTTTTATACATTTCCATGTTATATAGAAATCCTCGTTTCGTTCTCTCGAAACGAGCAGACAGTGGCGACAGTTTTGTTAGAATAACGATACTATTCATTATAATAAAGCAAGAAGATGACCGCATGGATTGAGTAACATTCTTAACGCAAAAGAAAGAGAATTTGTTTCCATTCAAAGGTAGATGCGGTCCATTATAGTGTGCGAAGTGTTAAAGTGTGTCATAATAAAAGAGCCGTAGCAGAATATTGTGCGCGACATAAAGCCTTTTTCAAAACATGGTCTGAAACGGTGAACCTGTCGCGATTCTACAAGCCTTTGTGCGTAGTCTGAAATGCGACGCGACAAACGCCGAGCAACGCAGTAGACACTGCCTCGTAATGAGCGGGGACGTAAGACAATACAAAGAATGTTAAAAACATATATAAGTAAAGGGGAAAATATTATACATATAAAATTCATAGATTAGGTAAGGCAGAAACTGAAAGTGTTCAATATTTTTAGCAACAGTTGCTAAGTATTTGTGTCGATTGTTTATTCTACCGACACACGCTAACCACTGGGCACGTTATAACTACCCGACAAGAATTGTTCCTTAGTGTACCCGCTCCGTTGTCTTTGTATGGCTTGTTAGTTAACATTGTCTATAGCTGAATAAGTAGCTAACAACAAGGTTCAGTAAGTTACTGAAAGTTCGGTATTTAGTATTTAAGAAAATGTAGTGAATATAAAGAGACATAGTATTCAATTAAACATAGTTTATGCAGCAAACATGTCCCGTAGAAGGTAGGTAGCGCCAAGCTTACCGCGCCACAAGAATCAAAACGCATTACACAATCGCAGGGACTGTTTCCACTCGCCACTGCACGTGGGTAGATATAAATAGAATGCCCGCAGCCTGAGAGGACTTGGAAGTGCAAAGATACAACATTATGTGACCTAGATGCGTATATCTATATATAAATGCGTTAGCCCTTTCTATGGATATAAACCACGACGAGCAACATATATACGTCTTGCATATTTTAGGCATTTTACTTAGTTGCAACTTTGTGATCTTTACAATGACGTGGAGAAATCGGATTGTAATAAAAATATATTGTTTCGTGCTCACACGGACTGCTTTGTAGACGCGCCGGTTTCGTACCAAACAACGCAACTGTAGACAGAGTGACGTAACGTTCGTGTTACCACATTTTTCGGCTCTACCAGACATTAATTTATTCTGCTACGGTTCTTTTTTTGTCCGCTTTGCAGAATGCTCGCTTTTATGATTAGATTTCATACTATTATGTAAATTTATCGGAAAAAAATAGTATTAAATTTTCAATACTGTCTGTTGTTTACGCGAGTAGTACAAATTTAAATAAACACTAACGGTTAAAAACGTGATATATTAGTAAAACTTATTATATATTAAATATGGAAACCCCGTGACTACGGCTGTTGCAAAGCATCCGAAACGTTGGGCCTTAGTTAAAATAATTTTCAAATAAGTTTAGCTAATATATATATATATCGTTTTAAACCGTTAAAGTGTTTTATTGAAATATTATATTCTGACAGTATTCCATATACAAAGCCAGTAATTGTATGAACCTACATATATTAATTAGTATGAACTATAGTTTGAAGGGCCACCAACTGCCCACTCATCTGTCTTGGAGTGCCGTTCCTATGTACATAAGCATGTATAAGCGTGATGATACTCTCGGGATAATACTAGAATATCGATCACGTCGTCCCTTCTCGGCATTGTAAACGGCTTAAGAACTTGCAAAAGCCTACATCATTTATAGAATTTTATTGCGTGATTAATAAATATTAGTCCTTAATATTTTATTAATTTATGAATAGTGGTTAAAACAACACGAAGGATGTGTCGAATTACAGATCACTAGTGAAACAGCGAATTGTTCATCTACCTTCTGGGTTCGCTCTGTGTGAGATTTCCCGATTTCCAACAATTCACAATAACTCTATAGTTTTCCTTTTTAATAAGATTGCATTATGATATCGTCGTAAACAGCTTGTACTCTTGCACTTGACTGTATTACGACCGCGTAGGATCCCTCTGCGCAAAGATGTAACCGCACCCCATAAAACCTTCGTTATGTCGTTAAATGAATTTCCTTTGCAAATTAAAATTGCCCTCGTAAACTGTACTTAGTCTTAAATGAGCGAGTAGATGAAATTGAGGCAACCGCTTGTAATCGCCGTCTGGAGAATTTTCAATAAGCTGCTTTTTAACTCCGTTTTCATCCGTTATCCCGATAAAAACATTTTGATGATACGGTTAAGCGATTGAGAATAATGCAAATTACATTGAAATTGGTCAGGAGGAATAATTATGCTTGTTAATACTTCGTCTTTTCTTAAAAATGGTTTTCACTAGGCTTTTGCAAAGTATTTTGGTCTTAAGACTATCCAGTAACAATCTGCTGACTTCAATAAAACAATTATACTTGTTGCTGTAAGCGCGGTTTGTTTATTGGAGACAGACGTTCAGTACCTACCGCCTAAGATAAGCTTTTACATAAAGATAGTATAAATAAACTTATTTTCTACCATATGCCACACAATATCGAATAAAACGTATTGCTAAATTTATACGTAAAAATCACACGAATATATTAAATTCAATACATAAAGAAAAAAGAAAATATCGTAACTTAATATTAAAAAATATAACACATCGTCAACATCGCGTCTTTTGTTGGTCGAAAGGGATCTTGCTCAGCTTATTTGAGTTTTGCGTGACATGAAACTGATCATCAGTAAGTCCATATAATGTGGTCAGCGGTGTAACTATAAATAATGCATATCTGATAAGATTGATTTCGATATCGATAATTTATTTTAAAGTAACGAGACTAGATTCGAAGACTCTGAGAACAATTAATTCCTCCTTGTTGAAATTGCAATCTGATTCCAAACTAGGTTCAGACTACGAACGTGGCACGTGTGCATAGCTAGTGTGCAACGTGTCATGTTCCGATTTAGGATATGGAAAGTGGCGAACCAGCAACCCTATCGGCCTGATTGGCTGAACATGTGGAAAGTTTGCGGCAGGCGTAATCAATTCGTAAGAGAGCGGGTGGCGTGGTGGCTCTTTTACTAATTAATTACTGCATTCGTTCGGAATAATATCTATGTAGTCCTTCTATTTGACCGAACAGTACTCCCAATTGTGTGTTGCTGTTGCGAAGGTAACATTAATACTGTCATAAATTGCCAGTAAGTCAGTCACAGAGTATCTGCAAGTTATTGTATTAATGTCGGGTTTGGCTGAGCTCCAAGCTGCCTCTGATGCCGATTTGCTTCTCTTCAACAGCGGCACGCTTAAACAACGTATGTTATGTTTTGTAATCGATAAAAACAAATAATATTGAAACCATTTCTAGTTCGGAATCATTCTTTAGGGATTCAATTTTTAATATTACTTTGGTGGGCTGATAATGTCTTTGCTAAGAATGGGGAAATGCCAACTAATGTGGACCGATCACTCGGCCTTCTATCGGTGTCCCAATAGGCGTCTTCGATTAGTCCAGGTCCATAAAAAACTATTTTTGTATAGTGTTTAACCTAAATCCACAATCGTAAATATTTATTTTGGAAGTAGAAATTGCCCGCTATTGCCGAAATTGCAAAAGCAATATGCAACATGCGAATCTTCCACATCAGTACACTGGACTATAACAAGGTTGGCAGTTAGTGTGAAGCTGGGTTTCTGCTTAGTTTTGGGCAACGCTCGTCCGTATTGTTGATTTCGCCGTAACAATACTTACTGACCTCGTGAATGCTGTATGTGTAACATGTTATTTTACACAACTCGGAATTTTACGTTAATCTACAAGAATAATATTATACGATTCCGTGGTACGATATAAAGGTTGCACACGACAACCCTATCCCGAAATGAATCGATCACGTAGAAGCAGTTTCGGCCCATCCAAATACCTGACCGCATGCAAATTTTATGACACTAGAAAGCGAAGGGGGTCTAGCTCTTACCTGTTCTTGATTCAATATGCCTTCGCTTGCATTTTGGATACTGGTGAAGCTTTTACAGCTACTGCTTAGAATAGTATTAAGTGTTATTTTTTCACAATTTGTTAACCGACACAAAAAAGGAGGTTCACAATTCGCCTGTATACAATGCTGTATCAGTGTGATGTTTGAGACCTACCTATCGTTTTTCGTTTTCCGTTCCTATTGGCTACAGAGCTCGACCTTCAACTCGCTGGGCGTAAAAAGGCCGAAGGTTTCCGAACCATTAACATAAACAAACATGTTTCAATAATAAGTGAAATCCGACATTCGCTACGATTTATATTTTTTTCTATCTAG